TTAAAATTTAGAAATTTCTTCAAGTTTTGTATTATGGCCTTTCGAGCCGCATTTCTGTCTCACGGAAACTTACAGACTTTCTATGAAACCATCGCGTTGTCTGAATCACCTTAAATTGTCTACACTGTGAAACAATAACGTCTCTGGAATGTTAAAGTTCAACTTCCAGCTCATCCGATATTCGAGCTCGAATTTTTAAAATATAGATTTTGAGTTACACTGAGCTCCTATTGGAACTTGCAGAATTTCCATAAAATCAGCACTTGGACGGACCAAGAGTAAATGGCGTGCGTCAATAAAAATAAATTTTTCTTTGCGTTTGCAAAGGTTGAAAAGTCCTTCGCTTCCGGTTTATGAGCTATGATTTTTTAATTAAAGAGACAGGCACTTTTGGGTTCCATTCCAATGAGTGCTTGATCAGGAAGGATGAAATTCGGCACGCTTGTGAAGAAAGGCTTTTTCTCAGAGAAGTGCGAAATCAAAAATTTTGGTTTCCGCAGTTAACGCGCTGTGAATTTTTAAATGCGTTCATACCCGTTTGGACCACATTTCTGTCACTAAAACTTGCAGGCATTTTGTCGATAGAATTGGTACACTCACGAAAAATAACGTTTTCGCTAATTTGTTAAAAGTTCAACATTCCACCGCTTCCAATTTTCGAGCTGCAATTTTTGAGAAAAAGCCAGGAACTTTTGGTACGCAATTCTAACGCACGTCATCAGAATCAAATTAAATAAGATAAATCGCATTTCGAAATTCCATCGCCTCCAGTTTATGAGCTGTGATTTTTTCGAATTCAGACAGAAGTTGCATAATTTTTATAACCTCAGTGCCTAATTAGAATCAGGTGGAAACAGGGTTATCCATTTTGTGCTTGGGAAAGTAAAGTAAAAAAAAACACACAACATATTCAGATGGAGAAGAAAATTTTAATTCAATATAAATATTAAACCTTGCCATTTTTGGTGAAAAACAATATCATTTAAATGTTCTCCACGGGACCTCCTACAGGCCTCAATCCTTTTGAGGTAATTTTGAATTACTTTTCGGCACATTACCGGTAATATTTCGGTCATAACTTCACGGATATTGGCTTTCAGTTGCTCAAGAGTTTGAGGATTGTTGCCGTAAACACGATCGTTCGCATAGCCCCACAAAGAGAACTCTATCGGTGTTAAGTCGCAGAATCTTGCGGGCCAATTGACATCACTCAATCCCGAATTACGCGTCCTGGAAATTTCTCTTGCAATAGTTTGATTGCTGGTTTCACCCTGCTGGAACCACATGTCTTGCAGATCATAATCTTCAATTTCGCTCCAAAAATAATCGGTTAACATACGTTCATAGCGCTCAGAATTGACCGTTATGGCTCTTCCTTGATCGTTTTCTAAAAAATACGGGCCAATAAGGGCGAACACCACCGAATCATAATGCCATCCAAACGGTCACATTTTAAGGATACAAAGGCCTTTCTGCGATCAACGGAGTATTTTGAGAGCCCCATATATGGCTGTTCGGTTTATTCACGATCAAATGTTGCGATGATGCACAGGCCTTAGAATATCAGTAACCGATCCAGTCTCGTCAAATTTTTCCACTGCGTTCGAGGTTGCTTGCTCTGTGGGTCGCTTATGTCGACCGTAATCTGCTCGTAACGCCCTAAACGTTGATAGAGAAGAATCACTTGATTCACATAATTTATATCAAATCTTCACCTGATCTGAATGAAACTAAATTTCGTACGCTTCTAAACAATGGCTTCTGCTCTACGTGGCTAAAATTTAAAGTTCGGTTGTCTGCCGTTTACGGGACGTGATTTCTTATGCACTTTTAGATCTAATTCTTGCCTCATTGAAAGTTTAGTGGTTTATATAAACTCAGTGCGTAATCATAAAATGGTGAAATTTTACACACTAATCAACACAGATCTTCTGCTCGAAGTTTAAAAAAAACGAAATTCTGTAGCCCGAAATGTACTGGTTATAATGCGTAAAATATCAGTGCACTCTTGAGTTCAATTTATAACTTATTGAAATTTGCGCAGTTGCTATAAAATCAACGGGTCACCAGAATCCTCTGAAATTGTCAGCACTTATAAACCATAACCCAGTTTCTAATTCTGGAAAACTTCAAAAGTCCATCTGCTCCAGTTCATGAGCTCTCATTTGTTAGATAAAGACATGCACTTTTGACCCACATTTCTGACTTACTCACTGCATGACTCTTCTATAAGCCAAGTAATCGGCTTCGGCTGTTTCAGAAACCCCACATCTGAATTCTGGTGTTAATCACTTTCAAATCAAAATCAATTCCTGGGCTTCAGTCATTTATTGTCTATTTATCAATTAATTAAAATACGTTTTGGTGTTTTCCACTATCATCAGTTTCTCTAAAATAACAAATAGTAAAAAAAGATAATTCCATTAATTTAAAAAACAATCACAGTTCGCAGCAGCTTTATAATATCACACACTAAAATACATCACAATTGCAACACTTTAAAACATTCTAAGATTAATTAGGCCTAACAGGTGATTAGTTAGGACAATCAATTCTG